TTTGGTGCTTCCCAAATTCGGGCCGTTCAGCATATCAGAGCTGCGCATCCATTCCATGATGAGGAACCATTATTTTTCAGAGCGGCGCCCTCGCTGAGTGCATCTTGAAACATCTGGATCCTCCAGAACGATGGCGAACGATTCTGGTTCAACGCGGAACATTCGTCTGGGCGTGGGTGCTCCCGCCGTGACAGGAAAACACTCCCGGCATTCAGTCCTGAAAGGTGGGCCTGGGGCAAGATGGTGCAGTGCAGCGACGTTGATGCATCCAGGTTTGCGTTGGTCCCTCTTCCCCGCCTCCTGCCATTCGGGCGGATCTCTCGACGCCCGCGCCTGCGGGCACTGCTGCGCAAGATGAGAAACGCCGCGATGATGGTGGCGGCCACCTCGCCCGCGCCCCGGCGCTACGGAAACCGCCCGGTTGGTTGCTCAGCCGGTCAGCTCGACGGCTCGACGGACCGCGACCTCCTCGGCGCGATCGCGCCCGAGAGGAGTCTGCAACTGTTGCGTGCTGGCGCGGTCAAGAGCTGCGCTGAACTCTGCGCCCTAGCGCCGCCCAGCCTGGTGTCGTGCCGTTTCTCGAACCGCAGGGGGGGCCGTCCGCGGGCTCGGCGGAGGGGGCAGCGGCGGCGCTCGGCGACCGCCGCGTCGTCGGCTCCTGGGGCCGCACTGAAGGCGCGCGCCCCTCAAGGCGCTGCAGCGGACTGCTGCGCCCGCGAACGTCCTGGGGCAGTTGCCACGATCGGCTGTGGCGCAGCGCCAGAGCCGACGATCCTAATCAGGCTGGAGCCAGGACCTGTCGGGCCGCGCGGAAACCGCACTCCTGGTGGAAGCCCGCACCCCGCGCGTCTTCGACATCGCGGCTTTTCGCCAACTCAGCGGAACGCGCGGCGCGCTTTGCTGCAGAGCGGCTGGACGCAGGGTTTCCACGCCCGCTCGCTGATCTGCAAGCGGTCACAACGGCAGGCGCCCTTGGGCGTGACACCTTGGCCCGGCAATGCCCGTCCCTCAGCGCCAGGGGGTTCAGTGGGGCGGCGTGCGTAGGCATTTGAAGTCCAGACTTTGCGAGAGGTCTCGTCAGGATCCTTCCCTTGGGTCGTTCGGCGAGCTGCCGCCAAGGAAACAACGGTCCCCCCCCAAGGCCCGCAAGCGGCCTTGCTGTGTCCACCGAACCAAACAGCAGCCCCGTCAGCGCCGACCTTTCCTCATTCCTCCTCCTTACTCCTTTCTTCCTCCTCCTCCTCCTGGCGCGGGCGGATGGGAGGGGATGGAGAGGGGAAGTGATGAGCGATGGGCGGGGAGGATTGGGAGGGGATGGGGTTGGAGACTGTGAGCATGGGGGGCAAACTGAGGTGGGAGGGGAGGAGGCGGATGAGACTGGGGAGGGACGGAGAGGGTATGACGAGATGATGAGTCGCGCGGGCCATGGCACAACTTGCACGGCACGCCGTCGAGACAATCACGCAGTGTCCGCGCGCACTTGCACGGCACCCGCCCCGGATGTCGCCAAGACGCGCACCGAGATTCAGTCTTCCAACGAGAGCTTCTTCCTCCCTTGTTCCAGCGAGAGCTCCCTTGTTCCCTCCCTTGCTCCAGTGAGAGCTACTCCCTCCCTTGTTCCAACGAGGGCACGCGCCTCGAATGTCCCTCCCTGGCCAAAACGAGATCTGCTCCGATGGTAGCCGCAACCAATAACCACCCGACTACATCAGAAACCATTTCGACAAATCAGCGGACACCTTTCCATGACGCCATATTGAGCTCTCTGTGGACCTCGTCTGTAGGAGCCACGACTGTGCCAAACGATGCCATAGCATGGTCGAATCAGCAAATCCTGGAAGCCTGTGTAAACCAGAACGTCCATACACTAGTCCAGGGCCCAAGGTAGTCCTAGCCAATGCTGGTGTTGTACAATTTTTGGTGTCCGATCTCAGGCTCGAAGCCACTTGCCCGTCTGGAATATGAGGGCTCAATCTCCTCAAGACTCGAAGCCGTCAGCGAGGCCAATCTTCATCCCCCCTGTTCCTCCTCCTCTCTATCCTACTCCTTTCTACCTCCCCCTAACCCCCACCTCCGTCGCTCCGTGCGCTGCGCATCTACCGCCAAACACAGAGAGAGAGAGAGAGAGAGAGAGAGAGAGAGAGAGAGAGAGAAAGAGACAGAGAGAGAGAACGAGAGAGAGAGAGAGAGAGAGAAAAACGACAAAACACACCATACATAATGAAAAACCGACAGAGAGATGCAATGACACAGTAGAACAGAAAGAGAGAGAAAGGGAGAGAGAGAGAGAGAGAGAGACAGACAGACAGAGAGAGAGAGAGAGATAAAGAGAGAAAGAGTTCGCCTGAAGCCATGCCAATGTGGGGCGACGCAGGGGGAGAAAAGAATAGGCAAGCGAGGAGGGCCGAGAGGGGCCGTGCGGGAAGGGAAGGCGAGGAGGGCGTGGGGGAGATCGCTGACGGACAAGACCGGCAACGAAGAAACGGCGCGCGATCTGCGCCTGTGCTTCCAAGCAACGGCATCACACAACCAGGACAGCATCACCGCGGTCACCTGCTCGGAGGACGCACAGCATTCTGAACATCAAAGGGCACCGATCGACTTGGCGGGTGGTTACGCACTGCGGGCTCCCTTACGTGACCCCCCTCTTAGATCTCGATACATATGCGTATACACATGCGTTTATTCATCTGTATGTGAGTGCGTGATGCGTTGAAGTAGGTGCATGGAATGTATACGGTATGCATCGGAGAACGCGTCCAGAACTTTCACTTGTGAATGCCTGGGTCGGATCAGAGCTTTGTGTGAGTGAGTTTCAGTGTGAAGAACTACGGATGCGCGCGAATCGAAACATGGAGGTCTTATATCCATGTTCAATGGGTATGGCAACGACTCCACGTGAGTACGTGTGGCCAGGCTTGGGAAAGGACTAGGTTTGGTGAGCCTGAAATCGAGCGAGACTTGCCATGAGCAACAACTTTCTGAGCGAGCCCGCGACATTATGCATGGGTCTGGGTGCGAGTGGGTGTGAATTTGAGCGCGCGAGGGTATGTGCGACAACGTGTGGTGGATATGATGATGCTGGAGCGTGTGCAATCTCCTGCAGCGAAAGCAGCCCAACATGTTACGACCACCTCCTGCTCCTCCCTCTCTTACTCTTCCTCGGCTACACGTCTGGCCTCGGAGAACAGTCTTGCGTGAACGCGGTGCTAGGATTCGACCGTCAAGTACTGTCTTGGTGAGACCTCCGATTACCCTACTGACTTTTGTGTTCCATGCTGTCGCCAGTCAGGACTCACTCGATTACGCAGCCGCCGCGAGCGGGTCTGCCGCAGCGGTAGCCGCAAGAAGCCGCTGGGACGACACCAGAGGCCTCCAACCAGACCCCAAGAAACACCAAGAAACGGACGAGATGCTCCAAGACAGCCCCCAGGGAGCCGCAAGAGAGCTCCCTGACAGCCCACACTACAAACTCATCTTGCGCAGTTTGTCCTTCTGGCTTAACAGGCTTCTGCCTAGTACACCATCGAGAGCGTTCTCAATGTCTCAGGGCGGTCCAGGCGTGGCCCACGAACTTCCTAAGACGGCTCATGTAAGCCCCACGGTAAGCCAAGAAAGCTTCCAGAAGGGGCCCCGGAAAGCCACCACAAGCGGCCACCCTTACAGTCCAGAATGGCCCCCAGAGGCCGCCAGGATGACCCAAGAAGGCCCCAGCACAGCTCCGAGCCATCGCGAGAAGGCCTCATGACGTTTCAAGCCTCATTGCAAAAGCGCCCCCTCCCCCTCTCGCTCCCTCCCCCACGCCTCCCCCTGCTCCTCCTCCACTTCCCCTCTTGCCCTCCTCGTCGTCGCCCTTCTCCTCATACCAATCCTTCTTCCTTGTTCTCCTCCTCCTCTTTCTACTGCTTCTTTCTCACCTCCTCCTTTTCAGTGGCTTCAACCCACGCCAGCAGAAACTCTTCTGCTCTTCCTGCCTCTCTCTAATTACCTTTCGCCCCTCGCCCATCGTGCTCCTCCTACTCCCCACTTCCCCTCCTCCTCCTCCTCCTCCTCCTCCTCCTCACTTCCCCTCCTCCTCCTCCTCCTCCTCCTCCTCCTCCTCCGATTCCTCCACCGCTTCTCCTCCTCCGCTTTCTTTCCCTACTCCTCTTCCTCCTCTCAATCCTTCTATTTCTCCTCGTCCTCCTCTTCCTCGCTCTTCCTCCACTTCTTCCTCATCCGCCTCCTCCCCCCATTTCTCCTCCCCCTCGCCCCTCCTACTCCTGCTCCTCCTGCTCACTCCTCCTCCTCCTGCTCCTCCTCACCCTGCTCCTCCTCTTCCCCCTCGTTCTGGTCCTGCTCCTCCTCCTCCTCTTCCTCCTCCTCCTCCTGTTCCTCCTCCTCCTCTTCCTGTGTCTCCTCCTCCTCCTCCTGGTCCTGCTACTCCTCCCCTTCTCCTCCTCCTCCTCCTCCTCCTCCTCCTCCTCCTCCTCCTCTGGCTCCACCTGCTCCTGCTCCGCCTCCTCCTCCTCCCCCTCCTGCTCTTCCTCCTGGGGTCATCCTCTTCGCCTTTCCTCCTTGTCCTGGTCATCCCCCTCCTGATTCCCCCTCGCCGTCGAACTCCTCCTGGTCGCCCTCGTTCTCGTCCTCCTCCTCCTCCCCCCGTGCTGCTCCTCCTCCTCCTCCGCTTCCTGCCCCGTCTCGGGTAGGAGCTGGGGAGATGTCGGAGCATCAGGGGTGGCCGGGCTCGCCCCGCCTGCGGAGCAGGTGGGGACACGCGGCTGTCCTCGGGGCCCGAGCCCCCCGGGAAGCAATCCCCGAGGAGGGGGTCCGCCGCCCGATGCTGGGCTGGCGGTGGGGAAACCGAGAGATACCGCTCCCGCTGCTCATGGGACCTCTCCTGGGTTGCAGCAGAGCGGAGCAGATCCCTCGCGGCCACAAGGCCGATCCTGCACAGGACACGGGAGGAAAATAGCACGCACAAGTCTCCTGCAACACACAAGCACGCCCACCACACACGCACCACACCACGACACAAAACAGCACAACACGAACAACAACTCAACACAATACAACACACACACACACACCTCCCGGAATGCAATCTGACCAGAAGTTCGGGGCGAATCGAGCGGTCGCGACGAGGGCCTCCAGGGAGGCCCACAAAGGCGAAAGTGTAGGAAGGACAGCGGTATCGGTGCCTTTCCTTCCTCTGTGGCGGTGTGCGTCTGGGGAGCCAATGAACTTTGTTGAAGAAATGGTCGCCAGAGCCTTCCTTCCATTGCGCAGCCGGAATGCCCGCGCGCCCGCGCGCGCTTCGCGGGTAGCCAACGAGGGGAGAAAATGCGCCCAAGGCCGCCTTGGCTGCGCCATAGGTCCCAGCCTTTTAAAAATTGTCGGCCGCCCCGCGTCAGCGCTTCTGCGCAAACGGCGACCCGTTTCGCCCGAATCGTTCTCCGCTTCTCCGTCCCCCCACTCTCCCTCCAAGATCAATCAACATCTATTCAGAAACTCGGATCGAATCGAAACATACATCGGATCGGACTAGTTACATCGGCACGGAGTAGAAATGGGATCGGATCGGCCGAGGCAAAATACCCAACGATGCCGTGCAAACATCGGGCCGAATCGTATCTCCAAGAAAAATCGGATCGGGCCAACCGCAATCGACATCGAATCGGATCGGTCGGATCGAAGTGAACCGTGCATTCTTCGCTTGCAGTCGAGCTGCTACCAGAAGGAGCGCTGCGTAGGGAACGACATCTCTTCTTGGCCCACACGAAAACTCCTGGGCGCGCAAGGATTGTCAGAGAAGCCGCACGATGACCCAAAGAACAGCGAGTCCCTTTCAGACCCGAGCTGCTCCTTTTTTCAGCGTCAGAGCCGTGCTCTTTCTTTCTCGTCCCCAGATATCTGACAACATGCTGTTTCTGTTGTTTTTCGAGATGTGCGGCCCCGAAGGCCCCGACCCCTTCCCCGGGATCAATGATTCGCCCCAGATCCGTTCTTGATGGTCCCGGGGGCCCGACGACTACCCACCCCAACCCAACCCGAAGACCCAAATTTCTGGTTTGGGGGGGGGACGGGTTCCACACGTGTTTTTGTTCACTGTTCCCCGACGCCCCCCCCCACTGGGGATGGTGGGCAAATTGGGGCCTTCGGGTTGGGTTAGGAAGGGGCGTGAATGACGAGCCCTGGAGGCATATCTCAAAGAGAACCACCCGGATTGAAAATATCCGATCCTGGGAGATCTGGGTCGTCCCCCTCGCCGTTCCCGTCGTCCTCATCGCTGGCCTGCCCCTGCGGCAATCGAGAGAAGAAACGCACTGACCATGATCAAAATGTCGCGGGACTTGTCGACGCCGAGCTTGGTCATGGTCCATGCCGGCAATCGCCGGTTCGCGAGGACGACCCCATTGACGCTAGCAGATACGGACGGTGACCGAAATCCGCATGACTTTTCCGTGTTCAAAGTTGGTCATGGTTCGCTACGGGGGAAAGGGCCCCCGGATTGTGACATGTTTGCCCCGTTTGTGGCCTCCCGGGGCCCTCCACAGGCCCCGGGACCGCCAGAAGACGACTCAGGATGAACAGATCGTCCTGGGGATATGTCGGGCGTGTCCCCCTATAGGGGGATTTTCGACGACAAATGAAAATACCCCCAACATACACCAAAAAGGTCAAAAATAACAGAAAAATAATCCCCAGACTATTTTTGGACTATTTTTTGATTATTTTGGGGTATTTTTTATTTTTCGTCGAAAATCTCCCTGTAGGGGGACAGGCCCGACTTAATCCATGGGGGGAAGGCCCCCGGGGTCCATGACCCGCTTCCCTCGGGACCCCTCTCCCCCATGCCGAGCGGTCCCCGCTCCATGCCCCTCCGAACTGAGCCTGCCCCCCCTCCCGAGAGGAGAGAGCGGGCCTCCTCGAGCGACAGCCTCCCAGCGCCGAGCGGGCCCCCACCTCGAGCACGAGCGCGCGGCGGCGGGCTGGCGTGTGGCCCCGTGTGGTAGGAGGGGGGGGGGGGACCGCCGCCTCTGGTGGTCGTGCTTGGGGCCGTGTGTGGAGCCGGCTTTGGGGCCACGAGGCGTCCGACGGGTGTGCCGAAGCGGGCAGGGGGGCCGCCTGTGACCTGGCTCACCCGGGCCTTCGGTGGAACTCCCCATAGGGCCACGAGGCGCTGGAAGGGTGCAAAAGGGGGCGGCGGCGGCGGAGCTCCAGAAGAAGCCAACGTCGATTTGAGCTACGGACTGGGGTAAAGCCCAGCACGCTCCACACGTGGGACACGAACGAAAGTCTTTTTCAAGCGGAGCCCGTACACGGCCAGTGCCCGAACTAGGTCCAGCAAATAACAGGAACGCCGGGACAGAACCGGGAACGAAGAGGGGAGGGGGAGGGGAAAGAGGATCGGGCGGGACCGGATCGGCTCGGCAAGAGGGAACGTCGAAAACTCAGTGTCATATGAGGCCCCTTGTGTAGGGGTCGCGAGGTTAAACCATGATGTAAGACACAGTTTGGCAGTACTTCTATGCTGCGCCCTGCCCAGCGGAGACAAAACGACCTCGGCCCCGACCAACGACCCAAGGCGATGCAGGGGGGGATGGGGAAGAGTAAGACGGAGACTTCGGGATGAAGGAGGAAGGGGAGAAAAGGAAAGGATGATCGTGAGGGGGAGGAAGGGAAGAGGAAGATGACGACGAAGGGCAGGGGGGCGAGGAGGAGGAGGAGGAGGAGGAGGAGGAGGAGGAGGAGGAGGAGGAGGAGGAGGAGGAGGATAAGGGTCATGATCATGAAGAAGAAGATGGGGGCGGGGGCTAACAAATGAGGACAAAGAAACGCACCAGGAGGATGATGAGGCGGGCGAACGGGCGAGCGCGAAGAAACGTCTGGACGTGATCGAACCGAGCGTCTCGCCGCGAAAATGGCACTAGCAATGCCCGAGCCTCCTGCACAGGAGTAGACGAGGCCGAAATGGGCCCCCTACAAACCTCTACTTTAGGGAGCCTTTACCCTGCTATATCTCGCCCATAAACGACACTGACCCCGACTCTGACCCACACCGCGTCTGCACCCCCTTCCCTCCAAATCCTTCTTGGGACCTCTAGTTTAAAGACCCCCCACCCTGCAATTTTTGGCCCAGAACCGACCCTGATCCCCATCCTGACCCCCCTCGCGTCTGCACCCCCACCCCTCAAACTCGCTTCTGGGAGCTCTAAGTTAGGGACCCTCCACCCTGCAAGTTCTCGCCCAGAACCGAGCCTGACTCCCACCCTGACCCCCACCGCGTCTGCACCTCCACCCCTCTAAACCCCTACTGGGACCCCTATCTAGCTTAGGGTCCTCCCGCCCTGCAAACTCTCAGCCGGAACCGACCCTGACCCCCACCCTGACACCCACCGCGTCTGCAACCCCACCAATCCAAACTAGTTTCCCGGACCTCTAATCCCACCAGCCCTTTAGGGCGTAGGTGGTCTAGAGCGTTTCCTCTGCCAACCCCCCTTCTTTCCCTTCGGGGAGGGGTTTACCCCTCCCCTTACCCCTCCCCACTGACCTGGACGAGGCGTCTCGCGAGGTGTCAGGGACGCCCAAGATGGCTCAAGACGGCTCCAAGAGCGAAAAAGCGAGAAAGCACAAAACATTGATTTACCTAGGTTTTGGAAGGATTTTGGCCTCTTGGGGGGGCCCAAGAGGCGCTTCGAGGCACTCTAGAGGGGCAACCCTAATTGGAGCTCCCCCCTTCTTTGATAGATCTCCTCCAAGATGGCCCCAAGAGCGCCCCGAAGGCTCCCAAGAGCGCCCCAAGAGCGCCCCAAGAGGGCCCCAAGAGACCCCAAGAGGCCCCCAAGAAGCCTCTAAGAGGCTGCCAAGAGACCCCCAAGAGGCCCCAAGAGAGTTCAAGATGGCCCAAGACGGCTCCAAGAGCGAAAAGGCGAGAAAGCAAAAAACATTGATTTTACCTAGGTTTTGGAAGGATTTTGGCCTCTTGGGGGGCCCAAGAGGCGACTCGAGGCACTCTAGAGGGGCAACGCTAATTGGGGACCCCCTCTTCTTTGATCGATCTCCTCCAAGATGGCCCCAAGAGCGCCCCGAAGGCTCCCAAGAGCGCCCCAAGAGCGCCCCAAGAGCGCCCCAAGAGGCCCCAAGAGGCGCCCAAGAGGCCTCCAAAAGGCTCCCAAGAGACCTCCAAGAGGCCCAAGAGGCTCCCAAGACGGCCCAAGACGGCTCCAAGAGCGAAAAGGCGAGAAAACACAAAACATTGATTTTACCTAGGTTTTGGAAAGATTTTGGCCTCAAGAAGGGCCCAAGAAGCGATTCGAGGCACTCTAGAGGGGCAGCGCTAATTGAGGACCCCCCCTTCTTTGATAGATCTCCTCCAAGATGGCCCCAAGAGCGCCTCGAAAGCTCCCAAGAGCGCCCCAAGAGCGCCCCAAGAGAGCCCCAAGAGGCCCCAAGAGGCCCCCAAGAGGCCTCCAAGAGGCCCCCAAGAGACCCCCAAGAGGCCACAAGAGGCTCCCCGAGATACGCAAGAGGCCCCCGGGACCGCCAAGAGGCTCCAAAGACGGCCCAAGAGGCCTCCAAGCTCGCCATTGTCCTCCTCCTCCTCCTCTTTTCTTCCTCCTCCCTCCTCCCCCTCCCCCTCCTCCTCCTCCTCCTCCTCCTCCTCCTCCTTTTCCTTTTCCTCCTTCTCGTCCTCCTCGTCCTCGCAGTCCTCCATCTCCTCCTCCTTATCTTCCTCCTCCTCCTCCTCCTCCTGCTCCTCCTCCTGCTCCTCCTCCTGCTCCTCCTCTTCCTCCTCCTACTCCGACGACGACGGCTCCTCCTACATCCTCCCCCTCTTGGGGTATATGGCGGCTCACCCCGCCCTCTGTTCTTCTGCATGCTCCCCCGCTTCCCTCATAACCTCCACTCCCCTGGGACTCATTTCTGGACGGGCTGGTGGGGATACGCGAAGCGTCTAGAATTTAGGGACCACCCACGTTTCAATTTTTCGCCCAGAACCGACCCTGACCCCCGACCTGATCCCCAACGTGACCCCCACCGCGTCTGCGCCCCCTCCCCTCTGAACCTTTTCTGGGACCTGATCTCATTCAGGGACCCCCCACACTGCAATCTCTCGACCAGAGCCGACCCTGACACCTTCCCTGTCTCCAAACCAATTCTGGGACCTCTAAACTGCGGACCCCCCACCCTGCAATTTCTCCCTTGGAACCAGCCCTGACCCCTACCCTGACCCCCACCGCGTCTGCACCGCAACCAGTCCAACCCTCTTTCTGGGACCTCTAACCTAGGGACCATCCCCCCTGCAAATTCTCGTCCAGAAATGACCGTGATCCCCACCCCGACTTCCACCGCATCAGCATCCCCACCCCAAATACCTTCTGTGAGCCCTAATTTAGGAACTGTCCACCCTGCAATCTCTCCCGGAACCGACCCTAACCCCCACCCAGACCCCCACCGCGTCTGCACCCCCACTCTTTCGAACCCCTTTCCGGGAGCCATATCTAGCTCAATGACCACCCCACCTTGCAATTTTGAGCCCGTCGCCGAGCCCATGTTAAGGGTTGCCCACATGGGCTGCAATTTCTGTCTGCTGGTCTGGCGCGGGGACGGCAGTCGGAAGAATTGGGTGGAACCATGAAGTACGAAAGCGTTGAAAATTGACTGGGCTTCCGCCCGCCCCACGAGGACGATCGAAAAGGAAAAATCGCTGGACTCTTGAAGTCGGAGGGGCCTAAAAAAATAGATTCGGACTTAGGCATTCTACCGAGAATCAGCGAACGGCGTGTAGTTTCCGTCTGCGCCGAATGAGTCCAATTGGGTCCTCCTCCTCCTCTTGCTCCTCCTCCTGCTCTTCCTCCTCATCCTCCTTCTTCTCCTCCACCCCTCGTGCGTGACCGCGGGTAAGTCGCCGAGGCCCCCAAAATCTGCAAGCTAACTCAGCCTCCTCCTCTTCTCCGAGGCCCCCCCCCCACGTCCCCTTCAATCTTCCCTCCTTCCTCCCCCCCGTCCCCCTCGTCCCCCCCGTCCTCGTCCTCGTCCTCCACCTCCTCCTCCTCCGCCTCCTCTTCCTCCTCCTCCCCCTCCTTCTCCTCCTCCTTCCCAAGACACCCCCCTCCCCTTCCTCCATCTCCTCCTCCTCGTCCTTGTCCTCGTCCTCGTCCTCCTCCTCCTCCCTCCTCTCCTCCTCTCCTCCTCCTCCTCTCCTCCTCCTCTCCTCTCTCCTCCTCCTCTCCTCCTCCTCCTCCTCCTCCTCCTCTCTCCTCCCTCTCCTCCTCATCCTCCTCCTCCTCCTCCTCTCCTCCTCCTCCTCCTCCTCCTCCTCCTCCTCCCTCCTCTCCTCCTCCTCCTCCCTCCTCCTCCTCCTCCTCCCTCCTCCTCCTCCTCCTCCTCCTCCTCCTCTCCTCCTCTCCTCCTCCTCCTCCTCCTCCTCCTCCTCTCCTCTTCTCTCCTCCTCCTCCCTCCTCCCCTCTCCCGTCCCCATCCTCCTCTCCTTCCCCTCGTCGTCTCCTCCTCTCCTCCTCCTCCTCCCTCCTCCTCCTCCGCCCTTCCCCCTCCTCCCCTCCTCCTCCTCCTCCTCCTCCTCCTCCTCCTCCCCTCCTCGTCCTCTTCCTTCAAAATTACTCAATATGAAAACTACTCTCCCTCTTCCCCTGATGACGTCTTGGGAATATTCGCCCCCCCCGCGTACGATTTTTTTACATACAAGTTTCCCCGGAGTTGGGTGTTCGCCTGCATGTTTTTTCAACAAAAATCTTGCTCTCGCTGAGGCGCCGGCATCATTTTCGGGCCCCGCTCGTTCCGAATCGTGCTCCCGCTGCAACGCTGGCATCATTTCCGCCGGCGCCCGGGCTGCACGCCCGAGCCGGCGCCCGGGCCGGCGCTCGGGCCGGGTCCGGAGCCAGTTCCGGCCGGCGCCGAAAAATCGAGTTCCGAGGCGGCGCCGAAAAAAGGCCATTCTGATACACATTTGTTTTTTTTGAAAATGCTGAATTTCTGTTTCCGGCGCCCGGGAGGCCTCCCGGGCCGATTCCGTCGCCCGGGCCGGCGCCTGGGCCGGACGCCCGAGCTGGGTCCGGCGCAGGAAAATCGAGTTCCGAGGCGGCGCCGAAAAAAGGCCATTCTAATACACATTTTCCTTTTGAGAATGCTGAATTCCTGCTTCTGGCGCCCAGGAAGCCTTCCCCGGAGTTAGGTTTTCGCCAGCATTTGTTTCAAAATGCTGCTCTCGCTGATGCGCCGGCCTCATTTTCGGGCCCCGCTCGTTCCGAATCGTGCTCTCGCTGCAGCGCTGGCCTCATTTCCGTGCTTCCGCTCGTTCCGAATCGTGCTCCCGCTGCAGCGCTGGCCTCATTTCCGCGCTTCCGCTCGTTTCGACTCGTGCTCCCGCTGCAGCGCTGGCGTCATTTCCCGTGCCATGCCACGGCATGCATTGCAATGCTAGGTTGATACTACGCTTCGCGGTGCTCTTCTACGCCATGCCATGCTGTGCTCTACAATGCATCGCGTACCCTTTCGGGATCATTGCCCTGCTCGACATCCGACCGTGCGAGTAGAAAGGGGTTCTACGCCATTGTAAGGGATGGGGAGGAGGGGTAGGATGTCAGATATGACGCGAGCGCACCTAGCTTGTCCCCCTCCCCCTCCCCCCCCCCTTCTCAACCCCTCTCCCCCTCCTCCTTCTCCTCCTTCTCCCCTTCCTCCTCCTCCTCCTCCTCCTCCTCCTCCTCCTCTTCCTCCTCCTCCTCCCCTCCCCCTCCTCCCCCTCCTCCTCCTTCCAATTTCCTCCTCCTCCTCCTCCTCCTCCTCCTCCTCGTCCTCGTCGTCCTCCTCCTGCTCCTCCTCATCCTCCTCCTCTTCCTCTTCCTCTTCCTCTTCCTCCTCCTCCTCCTCCTCCTCCTCCTCCTCCTCCTCCTCCCCCTCGAAACCATGGCGAATCGTGAGCCCGACGCGCCGCAATGCCATCGGGGCCATTCTTGGGGCAACCCCAGCAATGGGCCGAAAGCGGTCAGGGGGGCCAAACGCCACCCCCACGCGTCCGCCAGGAGCTACAGCGGACGCCAACCTGCCGACGGGGCGGGAGACAAGAAGGAAGAGGATTCCGAATATGAGAGAAAGAGAGAGGCGCCAGCTCACCGACGCGCTGCTAGGCGAATAGCACTGACCGCCGTAAGCGGCCAGCCCCCATGCCTACGTGGCTCTTCCAGCACTGCGGGACACTGGCCACCCCCACCAGACCTCCGTGCGGGGCGCACGGGGCGGGACAGCTTCTGGGTGACCAGGCCCGCCAGGCCCACCCCCGCAGACCCCGTTGCCCAAGGGGTGTCAGGTGGGACCACGTCTCTGAGTCGTGCCCAAAAGGCCGACCCCCCCGACCACACCTGACACCGCAACGTGACGGGCAGGTAACAACAGTGGCCAGAGCCTGCCCCCAATCCAGGCAGGTACCGTACAGGCCGAAGGACGGGATTGCGCCGACCCAGGGACGGGTGCCCTCGCTGGACCTAGAGGCCGGATCTCCGTGGGACCTGCGACGACAGACCTGGCCACTTTAGGGGGCCACCCCAGCTGGTCCAGGCCGCCCCAGGCCCGACAGGGCACCGACCCCCTGGCCAGCGGCGCCGCAAGCGGCGTCTAGGTGGATGTCAGTGCACTGCAGGGGACTCACTCCTCGTCCTCCTCTACGCCGAGGCACCCCCTCCTCCTCCCCCTCCTCCTTTTCCCCCCTTCCTCCTCCCCCTCCTCATCGTGGTCCTCCTCTTCCTCCTCCTCCTCCTTCTCCTCCTCACCCTCCTCCTCCTCCTCCTCTCCCTCCTCCTCTCTCCTTTCCTCCTCTCCTACTCCCCTCCTCCTCTTCTCGTCGTCCTCCCCCTCTCTCCTCCTCCTTCCCCTCCTCCCCTCTTCTCCTTCTCCCCTCCCCCTCTCCTCCTCTTTTCTTCCTCCTCTCCTGCTCCTCTCCTCGTCCTCTTCTCCTTCTCCTCCTCCTCCTCATCTCCTCATCTCCTCCTCCTCCTCCTCTCCTCCTCCTCTCGTTCCTCCTCCCCCTCCCCTCCCCTCCCCTCCCCCTCACTCTTCTCTCTCTCCTCCTCCTCGTCTCCTCCTCCTCCTCATCTGCCGAATACCCTCTCCTCCCCCTCCCCTCCTCCTCGTCTCTTCCTCCTCCACTCCTCCTCTCATCCTCCTCCTCCTCCTTGTCCTCCTCTGCTCCTTCTCCTCCTCGCATCCCCTCCTCCTCTCTCTCCTCCTCCTCCTCCTCCTCCTCCTCCCTTCTCCTCTCCCTCTCTCCCCCTCCCCTCCCTCCTCCTCCTCCTCCTCCCCTCCCCTCCTCCTCTCCTCCTCTCTCTCTCTCCTCTCCTCTCCTCCTCCTCCTACTCCTCCTCCTCCTCCTCATCTCCCTCCTCATCTGGTCTCCTCTCCTCATTCTCCTCCCCCTCTCCTCTCTCCTCACCTCTCCTCCTCCTCCTCGCCTCCTCTCCCCTCCTCTCCTCCTCTCACCTCCTCGCACCCCCTCCTCCCTCTTCTCTCCTTCTCCTCCTCCTCCTCGTCCTCTTCCTCCTCCGCCTCTCCTTCGTCCCTCCTCCCCTCCTCCTCATCCTCCTCATCCCTCTTCGCCCCCTCCTACTCCTCTCTCATCTCATCCTCCTCCTCCTCCTTCTCCTTCTTCCCCTTCCTCCTCCTCCTCCTCCTCCTTCTCCCCTTCCTTCTCCTCCTTCTCCTCCTCCTCCTCCTCCTCGTCCTTCTCCTCATCTCCTCAATTCTCCTCCTCCTGCTCCTCCTCTAGCCCTCGAACCACTCTGGGACCCAACTTCTTGGGTTTGGCCACCGACGCCGGCGCCGTCCAAGCGCTCCGCGCCCGCGCGCCAGAACTCGGCGGTGGCGGACACGGCGGCCGTTCTCCGCATGGCCTGGGCCGCGAATCGGTGGAGATGAAAGGCGGTGAGATCAATCGCGATGCGAGTTTATAGACATAGAAGCAAAAACCACGAGCCGCCTTGCTCAGCTTTGCTGAGAACTGTGGGCCAGGGGTATCTCGAAATGCGGTCAAGATATTCTCGCCGAGACTTCGTCAAAGGGATGGGTGGAACTTGACGAGCCGAACACACATTCGCAAGGCCTCGAAGCTGGTAGTGGCTATAACACCCACATCCCTCCGCCGCGGATCGGGGAAGGGAGGGGGAAGAAGGAAGGGACGGAGGAGGCGCGGACAGCCTGAGCGGGAACGGTTCTGGGACAGAAAGCGCACAGGCATCGATCGAGGGTGGCAGCCACCGCATCGGCCCATGGGGTCGGATGGGACAGGTGGGAGGGGGGCCATCGGAAATTAGCTGTCAGGATGTGGTGTCGGCTTGCGCAGGCTGCACACCACGTCCCCACGAGAGGGCCCCCCACCTCAAACAGTATCAAGTCAAAGGCTTACCAGTCTTGAGGTGAAACCCTCGTCTCGTGCAGTATACGTGATCTTAGGGCCTGGCTGCATTGAGTGCCGGGGCGGTCGCTGCGCCTACGGCACTGGTCGCGAACAGGTTGACAGAAGACAATCCGGCCTTGTCTTCCGATGACAGAAACGTGACAACGAATTGGGCTAGGACGGCGCAGGCAGAAATACGGGCACCAAGACCTCATCCACAACCACCGTAGCCGCCTGCACCCCCGCGGTGGCCACGGGGATGCTTTCCCTGCCGTGAAGGGCGAAGAACTCCTTAGCTGCCCAGGCCTGGAAGACAGAAGGCTCCCAGAGCGCAGCTGGGCAAGGGAAGCAGGAGTACGGGCGACAATGCATGAGGGGCCGAAACCACAGCATGATGGGGTCAACGCGTGGCGAGTAGTAGACACAGAATGAGGGGTCAACGCATCAGAGGTCAACACAGCGCGGGGAGTTAGTGCACGAGGGGACGCCCCAGCGTGAAGTGGCCAATAATGAGGGGCCCTAACCACAGTGTGAGGGATGTACGCATGAGCTAAGAGGGGCCGAAGCCCGCGCATGAGGAGTCAACTCAGGAGGTATCGAAGCCCCAGCATGAGGCTTCCACGCATGTGCTGACAGGGGGCACAGCCCAAGCACGAGGGCGCTACGCGTGAGGTGTCCAAGCCCCAGAATGAGGGCCCTACGGATGCGGGATCAAAGCTCCAACATGAAGGGGTCCGCGTAACGCATGTTGGGCGCAAATCCCAGCATGAGGGGCCACTGCATGATGGGCAATGGTCCACGCATGCAGGGTCAGCGCATGGGGGGCCAGCGCCCTGGAATGAGGGGTCAACGCAAGAGGGGCTAACACCACAGCATGATGGGGTCAACGCGTGGCGTGTCATGGGCCCAGAATGGGGGGCCAACGCGCGAGAGGTTGGATACACGGCTAAGGGGTCAGTGCAAGAGGGGGCGGCCCCAGCGTGAGGGGCCAACACATGAGGGGTCAACATCCCAGCGTGAGAGATGGACGCATGAACTAAGTGGGGGCGACGCCTCAAATCATCCTGGATCGACACCCCAGCATGGGGCTTCGACGCATGAGCTGACAGGGGTCAAAGCCCCAGCATGAGAGCTCTACGCATGAAAGGGCCGACACCCCAGGATGAAAGGCCTACGCATGCGGCGGCAACACCCCAGTACGGAGGGGTCAACTCAACACACGATGGGTCCAAGCTCCAGCCAGAGGGGTCAATGCATGACAAACTCCGCATCAGGGGGGAACGGGCCAACGCCCCAGCATGAGGGGTCAGCGCATGAGGGGCAACGGCCCGTGCATGGTGGGGTCATCGCGTGGCGGGTCATACACCCAGCATGGGGGGTCAACGCGCGAGGGGTCAAATCCACGGCGTGAGGGTCTGTGCACGATGGTGGAACGAGGTGGAGCCACGCCATGGGGGAGGCTGGGGACCAACGTAAACCCAAGACGCATCAACGATGTTCTAACAAACACTTCCTCCAAATTTCCTCTTCACGGGATCCTACGAGAAAATGCTCTCACTGCGGAAGCGTCCTATTGGAAGACAACCGTCTGAGAATCCTCGATCGTGCCCAATTTCATTCCTCGGTCTGCAGCGCCGCGAGTCAACGTGACTGTTGCGCCCTGGCTTTCCTAAATCGCCCCAGGACGCCACTCCTGGGACTTCAACACCGCGAACGAACGTGACTGTTGCAACCTGGCAATCCTAAATTGCGCCAGAACACCATTCCTGGGACTTCAACCATGCACATCTACGAAACTGCTACAATCGTTCAGGACGCATTCGCGCGGCACCAGAGCGAAAACCGCACTTTGACCAAAAACGCCCTCCACCAACCGAATTACTGCAACCATTCAAAATCAATGCGCGCGGCGCGAAGGCGAAACAACACATTTTGAAACCGGCCCGCCGTCCGTGAAACGCTTGAACTGTTAAAAGCGCACGCGCGCAGCGCCAAAACGGACGCGTCATTTTGAGAACGGCCCGCCCTCCTTCGTGAAACTGCTGCAAGTTCCAAGCCTCAGAATCAGAAGTGGCGAGGAAATCTCACGCGAAAGGCCCAGAAAATTTCTGGTAAAAGGCCAGGCCCGTCCTGCCTACACGTGTAGGGGTGCGACAGGGAGCAGTAATACAGGGCAAAGGGACAGAGGCGTGGCGGCGGCGAAGTGACATCGGGCCGAGTCGAGCCAAATCGAGCAAAACTCACTGCGAGTATAACACACAGCAATGCGCGACCTGTCGTACGCGATGTGAGCGAGAGAAGGACGGCCCCCTTCCAGGGGGTGGAAGCCCCGAGTTGTCCTCGCTCGACAACAATTCGGGCGAAAGGGTTGGAGGAGGAAGAAGAGGAGGACGAGCCAGTGGCTGCCCATGAGGCTCCTCTACCTCTTTGAACCCTCGTGTGCTCCTGCTGCCCACAATAGGGCGGGGGACTGGCAAAGGCGGGTAACCTCGACCTGGACTCGGCGATACTCTGGGAACAAACAACGACATATACATAAGCTCTCGGAGGTCCGCGCAGATTTCTCGGATCGGCGCTGAAGCTCCCCGGCGGCGCCTCCGGCGCCGCCCCTGGCGTGCTCCGCGCGCCAGGGAGTGCATATACATGTGCATACCAGCATCTGAATTTGTATCTGTATATGTATACATCTATACATATAAAGATAACTTTTATATGTGTATATGGATGCATATATGTGTGCAGGAAACTACAGGGAGAGACAGAGAGACAGAGATATATCAGATGCACAAGTCTTCAAATGTAGCGAGTAGATCCATAGGCAACTCTGTACATGCGGCTGTTCTAGCAACTTTTAGCGATCCCGCAAGGCCTCCACCAAGTGTGACACGGCGATGGTAGGAACGCCACCTGAGAATCGCATTTTGCTTTGTCATCGCTCTCATGCTTCACAATTATCCGAACTTCCCCCGACGTACTCGCCTCCTACCGGAACGCCTCTGCCCCAGGACTACATGAGGCGGTGCAGCACGTCCTTCTGTGTTCACTCTCAAGAAGATCTACTATCATGCCCCCCTGGCAGCTTGAGGCGTGGTGCACTGCGAAGTGCTGTTTGGTAATGACGGTTTCTCGAAGTCATTTACAGACCTCGCCCAGCAACATACATCCCCTCCCTCTACCGCGGCTCCTTGAGCGGCCCGACGCATCCCAAGGGTTCTCCGAGGCTTCAAAGACGGCCCAGGAAGGCCACCGATGCTGTCAGCATCGCCCAACATTGCCACAGGAGGCACCAAACATCGCCTCATAATATACCAAGAGGTGCCATGAATACCTCGAGAGGATTCCAAGGCAGACACCTTTTTATTACCGATGCATTTCCCTTGAATTTGGAATGTTTCCTGGCCCTCTGGGCTCAAACATGATGTGAGAGGACCGCGGAGCACAGAGGAGATGCCAAACGAGCCATGTGAAGTAGATGGCCCACGACAGCCCCAAGACTGCTCAAGAAGGGCCAGATACTGCCAACGAGGGCCGCAAGATGCCACAAGATGGCCCAAGAGGGCCCAAAGATAGCCGCCAAAGTACCCCGAGACGGTCGAGAAGGGCAACAAGGCGGCGCAAATAAGAGCCACGAGGGCCCCGAGAGGGTCCTCATATAGCCCCAAAGCAGGCCCACATGCGCCGAAGACAGTCCCACGACGGCCTAGGTAGGACTCACGAGAACCCTTCAAGGAGTAGCGGCGAGAAGCGTCCCATGCTGCAGCCTTCTGGGCGGTCCGAGAAATATCGCCACACAACGCGTGGGTGGCACGGTGGCGAAACGTGCCGTGGGCAGCTGGGTAAACCCGTCTTGAAGGATGAGGTGGCCATCAGAACAACTAAGGGGGACTGCTACACTTCGACCGACGCCCGAACACACGGCGCAAAGTGGACTCTCCCTCCGTGATCATTGAAACCAGGCCACATCCATGGAGTCGCGGATATCGCCGAAACCTTGCCACAATTGGTCTACGGGCATCTCTATCCATGCGGATGGGGGCGTCCATGACCCCCCAATCGGTGGTACGGCCACACACGTGATGCGACCGCCAAGGTTTGCCGCGACCTCTAATCTGGTCTTAACCATATTTCGAGAGAGCCCAGCGGTTCAGGTGGAAATTATCAACGGGGATAAAAGATACACGTGTGTATACATCTATACCGCTCGACCTGGCTGTCTGGGCCCGCCCGCCCGACCTGCCCATCAAGGTCCGCCCGCCCGACCCGCCCGTCTGGTTCTGCCGCTTGTACTCCTGCTCCTAACTCTCCACCTGTAAATCTCTCTCGTGATGGATCCTTCTCCCTCCCCCTGTCTCTTCCCTCATCCCTTCCTTCCTCTGTCTTACGGGCTGCGCCAACTACACGCGGCAGCTAAGGAAAATATAGCCCCAAGTTGGGTACCATCGAAGACGAAGGCGGGTATCGAAGGTTTGGCGACCACGCCCGCGACCCACCCCGCGCCCTCCCTCTCACTCTTATCCGCAACTGCGGGGTGCTACATCGGAGGTTGGGGCGTGAGATCGCAGTGGAACGGAGAGCTCCCCACGAGGAAGTCGGTTTCGGTTTTGTGTTCGTGTCGTGCGTGCGGGCGAGGCGAAGCTGCGTGGGCGCGAGAAGAAAGAGACCGCCGTCGCTAGGGCGGTTCGGACGCAAAAGTCCGGCCCTCCGTCGGGCGCGCAGTGGCTGCCGTGTCCCGTGGTGTCCCGCGCTGTCCCAGTGGTGTCCCGCGGTGCCCCGTGGTGTCCAATGGTGTCCCGCGGTGTCCCGCCGTGGTGTCCCGATCGATCGTGAAATCGATGCCGACCGAGATGTGGTGAGATCGGTAGTGAGATCGATAGTTGGATCGATAGTGAGGTCGATAGTGAGATCGGTAGTAGCGTCGATCGTGCGAGCGGCAGTGAGATCGATAGTTGACGGGCGCAAGCAATGAGTGCTCCAACAGCAGCGAGCACGCAGGAGCAACGGGAACGCTGCATTAGGCCTACGTTATCCCAAACTCTATGGCCTAAACTATGCCAAACTCTGGCGAGTTATGAGCCGTGTTGGCAGCGACTCGACCACCGAGTCCGACGTGCTCGGGCTACTGGCGCGCAGTTCACTTGGAGGCGATGGCGCGAGTGTAGAAAAACCACCACATCGCCATCAACACTCAACCACCACCGTCAGCAAGCATCCATCACATCGCAGTGGCGGTGGCACTTAGTTGGCTCGATGGTGTCCCGATGATGTCCAGATCATACTCAACGCCACTAAGCGTGAGATCGCTAATGGGATCGATCGCTGGATCCATCGATACTAAGACTGGCCGTGAGGTCGGTAGTGAGATCGATCGAGTGAGGTCGATAGCGGGGTCGATATTGACATCACATTGCGGCGCAACATCGTCATCACGCGTCGTCGCCAACCCGAGGGCGCACCACCAACATCGTCATCATCATCACATCCATCGCAATTGCCAACAGTTGGTTCTTCCCCTCCCCCAACCTCCTTATCACCGGAAATTTGGTCGTACAAATATGTATAGCCCCAATGTCGCACGTCACGGCAATGGCGTGTGACATTGGGAGGCACCTGGAGGATGGCAGGTGGCCTGCGGGAGGTCGTTGGTGAAAGCGTACAGCTGGGGCAGGCATGACACCATGGTGCCAAGACATGCCATCCTTGTCAACTAACTCTCGTTGGTTGGATGGCAATTCCCCACAACTGGCCAGCAACGTCCTTCTCCCAAAAGCTGCTTTTGGGGTAGTGTGAACTGCCTGTGCACACAAGTGGTATACAATGGCACAAAGGTGGCGACACTAAATCCTGGTGATACCACGTGAGACGATCAGAAATCCTTACCCTCCCCACCCCCAAACGCCACCGCTCCACCACACCACCCCGCCATACCCCACCCCTATCATAACAACAGCCCACATCACATAACAAAAAATAGCGGATGAGGAGGCGCAATGAGGCGACCCCAAGTCTTTGGCCACGACGACGGGTGCGCAGGACGCACGCATGATAACAATCACCTCACGTGCAAATGATGCGCAAGCCAGAACAACGACACTGCCGACGTTTGCGTCATCGTCGTGAACTCTCACACCCTCTGTCGCTCCCACTCGGTTGCCTCATATCTTGGAATTAGTATCGTAAGCAACGCGAAACACAACTTCCTGTGCTCGAACTTTCCAAAAGTCGGCTTCACCGTCACCGTCTTCAGTCTGAACAATGGGCGTTATGATAGCCAAAAGCATGCTGGCCTGCCACCGCATCGTCTCCTCCTTCCGGGTCGAACGGCTGATCGTGTCCATCGCCAGAAAACGGTCCGCCGCTCGCGCCGTCTTGAATTTCTTCCATCACATAAAGGCTGACGTCGTCAATGTTGGCGCTTTGTCCTGACATATTTGCGTTTTGAGCTCACGACGTCGCCCGCCGCTCGCTCGCACGACGCACGTTTTTCGTTCGGTGTGCGCGGGGGCCGGTCAATCCTTAGTCATTGCTCTGATGCCGATGCGCCGTCCAAGCGCCTGGCTTCTGTCTGTCTGTCTTTGTCGTCAATCCGGATTTGCTCTTCTGGTGGGAATTCCGCACCTGATGCTGCAACGTGCGCTCCCGGAGCATTCCGCTCGTCTCCTGACGGCGTGCCGTAACATCGACCACCTGTACTTGGTTTATTGTTATCCTGGTCTGACCCTTGCTCGGCACTCTGGGCACCGATCGGGGAAAGGACATCGACGAGGCCTGCGACAGCTGATCACGGTATTGCAAGACCTTCCACTCGCTGATTTTTTCCTGACAGCGTGGTGCACGTTAGAGCTCATTTCTCGGAGTATTTGCTTCGCGAGATCGGCCAGAGTTTCATATGTCATGTCACCACAACTGCCCACTGCCTTGCTTATTGTATTGCAGCTGCGGTGGTGTTGCCATCTCGTTCAACGTAGGTGACATCACCTTGCGGTATTTCGGCTGATAGCCTGAGTTTAGACAAATGATCACTACAACCTCCTCATCCTCTTCTCCTAGCTCTAGAGTCTCTTTGATGAGGATCTTTGGGATGATCAAATCCTTAACGTTGACGGGCGACATGG